CATTTTAGGTAATGTGACCCGAGATGCGAGAAACAAGGGGAGTGACGAGCTAAACAGCTAGTTATTGTATTTGGATATAGATTTTGACTTTAGATTATTCTTTGTAAGTTAGATTCATTATTTTGACCTTAAGTCATTGTAATACCCCAAAATTTTGTGATATTTTAGCATTAAGTTAGGGACTTGATTGTGAGAAAAGATTGTTTTGGGGCCTAATGTGAATATTCTGAAAGTTGAGGGACTTAAAAAGGGAAAAGAAATTGGATAAGTATCAGCTTCTTTCTTTTTCTTTTTCTCTTCTTTCTTTTCTTCCTCACCCGTGCTTCTGCTCTTCCCGACCCTACTGCAGCCCGAAAGGAAAAAAAAAAAAAAAGGAACCAAGCAAGCCGACAGCCCTCCTCTTGAGAAACCAGTTGAAAGCTTGAAGATTTCTCCCTCTTTTCTTGTTCTAGAACCCAGAAATCTCACCCCCCTGCAGGAGCTTCCGGATCTGCCTTGCTCTGCTTCTTCACCACTTGCTGCTCTTGTCTTGTGGGGCCGAATTGGCCCGGGTTTTTGGTAAGAAACAGATCGAAATTCCCTCTTTCTCTCTTGAATTGGCTTGGATTTACCTTAATTGCTTTCGGTTCCTTCAATTTTTGCAAGCCCCGTGAATTGCCACTGCAGATTGCCGCCGGCTTTTCCCCCAAACTGCAGTCCGGTTGTGCTAGGAAAATTATGGTATGTGACAGCCATTTAAGCTTAAAATTACCCATTTAGTTTGCTGTTCACGGGTACTGTTCACGGCACTGTTCACAGATTACTGTTCACACACCGAGGGTCGACAATTAACGGGAATTTAAATGATTAGTTTGTGATATAAGAACGAATTTGGAGATATCTGATAATGTGGAGATTTATAGAAATAACATCGTGATTAAGGGTAGACTTAATGATGCTTTCAGTTTGAATTTGTGATAGTATAGAATTAATTCATGGATATTTTGATTAGGTTCCCAATTGTTCTGTCAGTTAGCACTAAGATCGAGCCTTCGGTTTTATGGAGTGAATTTCTATGTTATGCGAGTGAGGTAAGTAAATTTATGGTAATGCCCGTACTGTTTTTAAAAGCATGTTTTGATTTGTTTTTGAAGTGGTGGCTGGACTAAACCCGTTTTACACAAGTATGACTGATTTGAAGTGGAATTTTTATGCTTTTCATAAAATTGAGCACGCCTACTTGGAATTTAATTGATTGTCCTGATGATCTGAAAGTGATTGGTGAATTATGTTTTTCTGTTAACTTCAGCCTGTTTTGTCTCCGATGTGGTCATGTTTCTGTAATCCTGCTAGTGGGGGTTAAACGCTAGCACATGTCGGCACATGTCGATATGTTATTGATAGAACCGGTTCGTTTCTGTAACCTTGCTAGTGGGGGTTATACACTAGTAATTTTTGTAGCCTACCAGTGGGAGGTTTATAACACTGGTCGTGACCTATAGAGGAGACGTCTATTTCGTTCCCATACTGTATCCGTTTTTCTGATTGCACTTGTTGGCATGCTATAAGTTTAATAAGGGGCACTCCATATTTACTTACTGAGTTTATCTCATAGTTTTTCCTTGTCCACCATTTCAGGAAGCGAAATCGAGGACGGGGAAACCATGGGAAGTGACGAGTTAGAAGGCTAGCCATTTCGAGATTGATATAGATTTTAGATATAGATCATGATCTTGTAAATTGGATTTTAATCGGAGATTTTATAAATTCATTGAATGGATTGTTAGTTACAAGAGATTTGACATTGAGATTTTGGTGGTATCAGATTGTGAATTGGATAAGTTTCGAGCCTTGTGCATTTGTGGGACCCGTCTCACGAATGCACGGCGTCTGTCGCGCCTCGAATTTGGGTTTTGGGGGGTGACAGTCATGTTGGACATAGAATTATTTTGAGATATTTGATTTAAGTTATTGGATTGTCAGATGTGAATTGGATAAGTTTCGAGCCTTATGCATTCGTGGGACCTATTCACGAGTGCACGGCGTTTGTTACGCCTTGAATTTGGGTTCTGAAGCATGACAAGAATCTACACTACACTTATCTTAAAAAATTAAATTATAGGAATGGTGACTCTTCATTTTCAATCATCATTATCATTCATTTTTTGTATTAAAATTTCTTTTAATTTCATTCACTATTAGTTTTAAATTATAAGAATTATAGT